CATCTTCATGGTGAAGCAGTGAAAGTTCTCCAGAACTAAAGAGGCTGGGATGTCTAAAGAGCTGAAGCTCATGTCTCTGCAGGTCTTCATGGAGGACAGCTAACAGCTTCAACAAAGGCTGCAGATGAAGAGTTGATGAGGAAAATGGTTCCAGCTCTGGAAGCAGAGTTCTCAGAGCTTTGGGAGGATCTGACAGAAACTAGGACTTTTTCTGGAACCAGACAACAATCACCACATTTTGGTCTCAGTTACAAACTCAGAGGAAACTAGTGGAGGAGGAAGAGGAGAGGATGATGACGGGATGAAGATCAACACTGTTCACAAAGTTTATAATTAATGCAACTTTCCATCAAACCTAAACAATTATTTTATAAAAACAGTCAAAAATCCTCAAAGGTGAATTATGGAGCAGCAGCTCAATGAGTGAAGAGAGTTTAAAGTTTAAAAAGTCTCTGGCTGATTGGATCTGAGAGGAAATAGACATTTTCTAGAGTTCAGGGTTTTCTATTCATTTCAACCTGAAAACTGATAAAAAGTAAAAAAATTTAAATGATCAAAATGTCTAAAAACCAGAAGCTGCAGCTGTCCTGGATGAACTGAATGTTTAGATGTTTGAAATCATCCAGAAGATGAAAGAAGTATTTAAAAGCCAAAAACATCCAGAAGTAACTTGAAGAAAGAAGAAGAAACAGGAGGACAATAGTGCTGAATCAGCATTCACATGATGAAAACATCTGGACTCACCGAGCCTTTCTGCAGTTCCTCACAGCTGGAACCAGTCTCTGTCGTCCATCTGGTGATGTGTTGTACTTCTCCAGGTCCAACTCATCCAGAACCTCTGACATCTGCAGCATGAAGGCCAGAGCTGAACAGGCAGTCCCTGAGAGCTGCTTCCCTGAATCCAGCAGCCATTGGATCTCCTGATAAAATGAGAGGTCATTCATCTCCACAAGACAGTGGAAGATGTTGATGCTTCTGTCAGGAGAGATTCTATCAGTGTTCATCTCCTTCAGGCTGGTGATGATTCTGTCATGAGAGTTATAACCAGTGAATATTTTCTTCATTATGTTTAACATTCCCGTCCTGCTTTCTGGACGGTTCTCTGTCTGACCCAGCAGATCCTCTAAGTGTCTCTGGTTGGAGTCCACAGTGAGACCATGAAGGAAGCGGACAAACAGGTCCAGGTGGCCATTTTCACTTCTGAGGGATTTCTTCATGACTTTCTTCATGAACTCACCCAAAGAAATGAAAAAATAATATTTTCCCAGCAAACTCTTGATCACTTTTGTTTTCCTCCAGGTGGTGAAGCAGTGGAGCATGTAGACGGCAGCCAGAAACTCCTGGATGCTCAGATGAACAAAGGAGTAGACGGAGATGTTGCGCGTTCCTCTCTCCGTTTTAAACATCTCAGTGAAAACTCCTGAGAACAACGCAGCATCTTTGATGTCGATGCCGCACCGTTTGAGATCTTTGTCATAGAAGATCAGGTTTCCCTTCAGCAGCTGATCTAAAGCCAGTCTTCCTAGAGACTCAATCAGCTTCTTGTTCTTTAAATTCCAGATAGATTTTGTCTTTCGTCGTCCATCATACTTTTCCTCCTTGATTTTGTTCTGAACCAGCAGGAACTCTATGTACATCTCAGTCAGGGTCTTGGGCAGCTCTCCTTCCTCTCTGGTCTTCATCTTTTCCTCCAGAACTTTAGCAGTGATCCAGCAGAAAACTGGGATGTGACACATGATGTGGAGACTTTTTGATTTCTGGATGTGGGAGATGATCCTGCTGGCCTTCTCCTCATCATCTCTGAATCTCTTCCTGAAGTACTCCTCCTTCTGGGGATCAGTAAACCCTCTGACCTCTATGACCCTGTCAATAGACTCATCTGGGATCAAACTGGCTGCTGCAGGTCGTGTGGTTATCCAGAGGAGAGCAGAGGGAAGCAGTTTCCCCCTGATGAGGTTTGTCAGCAGAACATCCAGTGAGCTGGACTCTGTAGCATCAGTCAGGATCTCCTTGTTGTTGAAGTCCAGATGAAGTCGACTCTCATCCAAGCCATCAAAGATGAACAGAACCTGGAACTGTTCAAAGTTACTGATTCCTTTGGTTTCAGTAAAGAAGTGATGAATCAGTTCCACCAAGCTGAACTTTTTCTCTTTCAGCAAATTCAACTCTCTGAAGGTGAATGGAAATATGAACTGGATGTTCTGGTTGGTTCTGCCCTCAGCCCAGTCCAGAGTGAACTTCTGTGTTAACAGTGTTTTCCCAATGCCAGCCACTCCCATTGTCATCACTCTTCTGATTGGTTGACCACTTCCTGGTTTAAAGATGTCTTCTCTTCTGATTGTTCCTTGTTTCCTGGATGCTGTTTCAATCCGTCTGACCTCATGTTCCTGGTTGACCTCTCTAGTTAACCCCTCTGTGATGTGGAGCTCTGTGTAGATCTGGTTCAGAAACGTTTGATTTCCATGTTCAGCGACGCCTTCACAGAAACTTTGGAACATCGTCTTCACAGACTGTTTATGGTCATGTTGACACTGAATATGAAAATCTGAAAAAAAGAGACACACAAGAGGAGACAGTTCATCTAAATATAGGGTATACAATTATTTTTGATGTTCTCAGAGGGGATTTAGATACAAACTTTTATGAAGAAGAAAAATCAATAACTTAAAAACTGCTCTTATCTAAATATGAAAGTTAGCGCAACTTCGGTTTCTGAGGAAGCAGAAAATTTGAGATTTAATTTGTGATTTTCTGCTAACTTAATCTTGCGCTCACTGAGGGAATGGATAAAAAAAGTAAATAAATACATAAGCTAAAACTTCAAGGAAAAAAAAACTAAAAACCAGGTACTTGCTGCACAAACATGATTAAATTAGTTTTTCTCATTAAAGCTCTTTCTTATTTTTCTCTTGTTGAAGGTTTCAGTTAATCAGACTTTTCCCACAGAGCGACCTCTGACCTTTGAGTATGAGAGTTTTATCAACGTGTTTCATTTAAAATGGCATCCTCTTTGAGTAATGTCTGCAAGCTGGAAACAAAGAACCAAACTGGCCACTTTATTAGGTACACCTGTCCAGTTACTAGTTTATGGTTGAAGGTGAAAGAAAGGCAGCAGGAGCTGAGATGAAATCATGTTACAAGCAAACCACAACACATGCAACCATGAAGCAATTCACGATCAGTTGCAACAATAGACTGAGAAAAATTTAGTTCAGATGTAAAAATAGCAAGGCTGTTTAGTTTTTTGATAAATTTAAACCAAATTTTGTCACTTGGAAGTCGGCATGTTTGTGCTGCAATGTATTCCTGGTAAATGACGTAGGCTAGGTGCTAAGTACAAACTTCTTCCATCCACATCAGTAATTTTTGCGTA